AAAGAACCAATGTAAGCTTTGTGACCTGTCTGATCTACTGTGTGAGCTCCAAGATGCAAAGCTAGATGGTTATTTGCACATGTTAAGTTACTTTGACACAGCCAAGGGAGTAGGTCTCTTTTGATGTCACATCACTCTTTACGTGCATTCCTGTTGATGAGGCAGTAGAGGTGATCGGTTTAAGATTAAAATCAGACACCACTCTGAGCAGCAGGACCACACTTTCCACAGAACAACTGTGTCAACTCTTGAAACTGTGCCTGCAGTCAACCTACTTCACATATGGGGAGCAATATTATAGGCAGAAACATGGGTGTGCTATGGGGTCTCCAGTTTCTCCTATTGTTGCCAACCTGTACATGGAGGAGGTAGAAAAGAGAGCATTGACGTCCTTTTCAGGGACACCACCAAGTCATTGGTTCAGGTATGTTGACGACACTTGTGTTAAAATTAAATCTCAGGAAGTCCAACATTTCACTGATCACATAAACTCTGTGGATAAATACATCAAGTTCACACGAGAAGATGTAAAAAATGGCAGGCTGGCTTTCTTGGACTGTGAGGTCTCAGTTTCTGATGAAGGGCATTTGCAAACTGATGTGTAACACAAACCCACCCACACAGACCAGTATTGGCAGTTTGACTCCCATCACCCTCTGGAGCACAAGTTAGGAGTCATCAGGACTCTGTATCACAGAGCAGACAGCGTCCCCAATAACTCAGGAGCCAGGCAGAAGGACAAATCCCACACAAGACAGACTCTAGAGCAATGTGGATATCCTAACTTGGTCTTCCTGAAAGCAGAGAAGAATCTCAAACAGGACTCCAGTCAGCCATCAGGTGAAAAGGAGGAACCCAGACAAGTGGTCATTCTATATGTTGCGGGAGTTTCAGAGAAATTGAGACATCTATTTCCTAAACACAATGTCCCAGTGGCTTTTAAACCCAAAATACATTACGGCAAAGACTGGTTCATCCCAAAGATCCAGTCCCCTGGCACAAACAGAGCAATGTTGTGTATGCTGTTCAGTGTCAGGAGGGCTGTGATCAGTCTTACATCGGGGAAACAAAACAGCCACTGGCCAAAAGGATGGCCCAGCACAGAAGATCAACATCATCAGGCCAGGACTCTGTGGTCTACACTCATCTCCAGGCCAGCGGTCACTCTTTCAGGGATGAAGATGTTCACATCCTGGATAGAGAGGAACGATGGTTTGAGAGAGGAGTAAAGGAGGCCATCTTTGTGAAAAGAAATCGTCCATCATTAAACAGGGGTGGAGGCCTCTGGGTTCAACTGTCCCCCTCTTACAATAATGTTATTACTAGTATCACTCAGCCCCCTGTGAATAGCAAATAGCCATCAGAGTGCTAATGATCAATTATTAGGCTTTTATTCATGACATTTTGTTTACATTTGAGCTGGTGCGTTTGCATTCACACTGCACTGTGCAGTCGAGCCAACCTGTTGAAGCAACCTATTCCCCCACTCGCCTTTGGGAGCGCTGCACCAAGAACTACTGAAAGAAACGACACAAAAACCTCTGAAGACCTTCTTCTTCTGGAAATAAAAACAAAAACGGAGTGGCATCAAGTTTTAGCAGTTTTAGGTGTTATATTTTGTCATTTTTCAAAAATGGACTCAGCATGAGCAGAAGATGAGGCAGAAGACCATGGAGAATATTGATTTTCCACACAAGGCAGCTGACGGCTCCATATAAGGTCAAAGAAATGCGTGTTTGTTTGTCCTGCGGAGCGGGGCCCGGTCTGATTACATTCACATTGTACTCGAACCGCGCTGGAGTTCTCTTCTACCGGACCGAGACCTAGGTTTTAGCCCGGGCCAGAGTTCGCCTTTTTGTTCTGTGACAGAGTTCGATGGCGCGTTCACACCTCCCTAAACAAACCAGACTTTCTAGGAAAATGAGCTAGAGTTCGATTAAAGCAGACTAAACAGGGCTGGTGTGGATGCGCCCTACAAGAATCCATCCAGAGGACCTGACTTAGATTTGTTACATCTTTCCTTTTTGAAAAATCCTATAGTTAAGGTTGGCTTGGGGTTCCTGAGCTTTCCCTTAGTTAGTGCTGCTAGACTTAGACTGCTGGAGGACAAACTGACCACATTTCCTGTCTCTGCTGCTGTCTTTACTGGCTCTACTCTACCTGTTTGTATTTGTAATTATTTCCATCTTAACGTGCGTTATTTTTCTTTCTTCCAGTAGAAAGTACACCTGGACCAAAGCAGAAAGCTGCTTGTCGTGAGCCTAGCTCTGCTGGAGGTTTCTTCCTGTTTAAAGGGAGTTTTTCCTTTCCACTGTTGCCAGTGTACTTGTTCAAGATATAGGAAACTGCAATGAAGTGACGATTCAGTGCAATCTTCTGACTTCCTTAGACTGATAACTTTTACTAATAGGCTTTTTTTAATGTATGTGATTGTTTCTGTTCAATGCCCTGAGACAACTTCTATAGTGACTTAGTGCTATATAAATAAACTGAATCAAATATATTTAAACACAGAATAATTTAAAAAAGCAACAAATGATTTTGGCAGCCAGATGCCACTGAATTTACTGATTTCAGTTGTTAAGTTTCCATCAGTTATGCTATCACCTGGCTGCAACAGTAAAAAGTGGACATTCATGTACCGTAACTCTGTCATTGTCTGTTAGCAAAATATCTCATGAACCACTAAACTGACAAAACAAATTTAACTAATAAAATTGACAGATAATTTGGTTTAGAAGTATATGAGGGTCATCCTTATCTCATACTCCGAGTTCTCAGAGGATGAGATCTTTGTTTAAAAGTTTGCTCTGCATATTATTGGCATATATGTACTCCTTTCAGGAATACAAAATTATTTTATTTTTTTAAGTTAAAAGACCTGAAGTGTTGCTGAACAAATTTACACACAACGTTCTGTGTAAAAGAATATAGATTTATGACTCATGTTTAAAAGAAGTTTAAAATGTGATGAAAACCAGTTCTTGTCGTGGGTCATGATTACTGTCTGGAAGAACACAATGATAAGAATGTAAAACCAGTTGGGCATGTTGATTTTTCCCCTCACTGTGTATAACAGTTTTTGTTATATTTATATATGTACTGTATATATGTATGTTTATGTTTATATATATATATATATATATATATATATATATATATATATATATATATAGTATATAGTATACAGTTTCTTTTGTTTGTGCTGAAACATTTCACCTTCCATCCAGAAGGCTTCATTAGTCAAGGAAACACACAACAAAATGGATTCTTTCCCCAACATCTTACTCCAAAGTGGAACAAACCACTTTTGAACCAGTTTGACATGACTGTCGACGAGGGAGAGGGCCGGCACCGGAGAAGGGGGCGTGCCAAAGACACCATCTTAGTACCAACATAACTGGTTTGTTCCACTTTGGAGTAAGCTGTTGGGGGAAGAATAAGCTTTGTGTTGTGTGTTTCCTTGACTGATGAAGCCTTCTGGATGGAAGGTGAAATGTTTCAGCACACAAAAAAAGAAACTGTCCAGATGACCTGACTGAAAATTGTTGGATAAAAGGCAAATAAATGTAAATGTAAACTCAGACTTGCTAACAATTTAAACTCACCAGTGCATGTCCATGAGATCAAACATTTGTGAATCTACTGACCAGATTAAAGTAATTAGGGGCACATTCACTGACAAATTAAATTACACTCAGAAGGAATGATCTAATATGGATGTAAATAATTTCATGAATGGAGTTATCAGGTAGATGCTGGAGAGTCTGACAGTGACAGAGACAGTCAGCAGACAGGATAAATTGTCGACTCATCAGACAGCATTGCCAACACATGTTCAAAATGTAAAATAAAAGCACAGATGTTTAAATGTGTAAAATAAAAAAAGTCTACAGTGGGGGTGGGGTTCATTTTATTTGCTCTCTGAGGCAGAGGCTTACTCTCACACTTTAAAAACTCCTGTCCTAGATAATTATCATCAGAGGAGGATCATTGTATTGCATACTAAGCTGTAAATGTTTTGACATCTGGACAAAGATACTAGATTTTTTTTCCCTTTTTTTGCAACACCCCACATCATCACACATTGTGTGGTGCCAGAACCAGGAAGTATAAACTGGTAAGTAGTGGCATATCATCTTAGGAATGAATCTCAGTCCTGTATTAACACTGAAGACCTAAGCTATGCACCGAAGCTAAGGTAAGAGGAGCCAATGCCAAAGACACTCTGGTGTTCCTCCTGGCATTATATATATATATATATATATATATATATATA